GGGCTGCCACGTCAGCAGGACCCAGTCTACTTTTTTTGCATTGGAGAATATATTTTTTTAGACTAGGTCTATTTCTTCGGTGGCATACAATTTTTTGTTATTGAACTCAAAGCATTGTGGATGCTCATGGATGTATGATGGAAAAATTATTTATGACACTTTCCAAGCAAATTTTGTTTACAATTTTTTTGTCTGAACCTAAATACAAAGCATGATATTGTGATGTAGGATTTCAAATCGTGCGAGTCTGCCACTTTGACTCACGTTTTTAATATATAGGGGAAATTTAGTACTCTAGACATACACAGTTGCAATTAAAGTGATATTAATCGTATTATGTATGTGGGAGTTAATAACATATAACATCCATGTTAGTGTTTAGCCAAGCAAAGCCCATTTGCGACCCAACTCATGCCGTATCATATTATTGAATGGGCCTAGCGTTCGAACTAATGCCCAGATACATCTATTTGAGAGAGTTTGATGTTAGAAAGCCCGCACACATCTATCTATCTATATATATTAGAGATTACACCTCTTACAATCAATTATAAATTATATTACACTTATACGATATTTATAAAATTAGTAAACCAAACCAAAAATATTACAATTATACCTCAGGTGGGAACCAATATATGTAACCGTCTGTTAATTGGGTCTCTCTCTCTCTCTCTCTCCAAAACTACCTCACCGCCCCACGTTCACCACTCTCTCTGCAAAAAAAACCTCTCCTTTAATAGCCAAGACAAAACTTCTCCGATCTACTAAAAAAAATTATTCGTCGATCCTTTGCAACAAGACCACTATTGGAAAAACCTATCGTAAAGCTTCGACTTTCTTGTGGCTCATGAGGGGTGGGGAAGTCAGACGAGGAGCGCGATATTGACGGGCCGTATAAGGTTATCAGCAGACGAGGAGCGCGAAGGCGGAGGTCGCCACTGAAATTTTGAGCCGAGGGACTGTGGTAAGCTATGAAATTTTATAAGGGATGACCGGACGGGATGTCGGACGCAGGGCGACGAGCGAGTGAAGGAGGTGAGGTCTGTGATGGCGGCGGGCTGAAAGAGCAATCCTCTCTATCTGCACAAAAACCTCTCCTTCATTGGTTCTCTTGACTCGGTGACGAGCGACTACGGCCGTGGGCTCGTCTCGGGAAGGCGGAGTCTCAGTACCCAACGACAACCCTTCTTGTGAGCAACGGTGACATTTGAAGAGTTTCAACTGGATTGTTTTAATTTTATTTTATGTTTATGTATAGTTTATGTTTAATGTATTAGCAAATTTTTTTATTGACGAATTGATTTTATTCTTTATATTTTTAGTTTTTTTACTGTAATGGGAATTGCTTATTTGTATTATTTTTGTTTGTTACTTATCAATGATATACATCACGATTTATGTTCCGTTGATTTCTAGCTTATGAGTCAAGACTTTGTATTTTTTTTTTTTTTCTTTTTGTATTGTTCAATGAAAAACTGTGCGGTTTATTTTCAGTATATTACTAGTAATGTTTTACTGTTTCCATGTTTTTTTTCTCATGACATTAATAGGAAAAAGATCAACATATGTACTAGTTAAAAATTTTATAATTAGAGTTTATACTCAGTATATTTTCGGTATATTATGCAGTTAAAGATTTATGGTCAGAGTTTATAGTACGTATATTTTTAGTATATTTCGGTATATTCTCAAAGGAGCATTATGAAAAAAAAAAAACGATATATATATATATATATATATACCATTAAAAATGAATAAAAATGATGTATACCATTAAAAAAATGATATATATAGATATACCATTAAAATACTGTAAAACTCATTTAATTAATTAATGATCAAAGATTAAACAAAAAATATAAAATATAAAAATGAAAATGAAAACATAATTACAAAAATATACCTCACTATCTATTATATTTTTTCTTTATGTTCTTCTCTTACATTGAAAACATGATTCTCACTCCAAACACAATTATAGAATTCACTTTTATAAATAATAAAAAAAAAATGTAGAGTTGGTGAATAGTGCAATGCCAGATGTAGCGCTGCATTGGATGTAGCGCTGCATCGTATATATCTTCTAGTGTTGCGTTGGAGCCAAATATTCGCACAACTATGGCGTAATATATATCTTCTAGTGTTGCGTTGGAGCCAAATATCCGCACAACTATGGCGTAATAGCAGCGTTAAAGTTGCTCTAACTAGTAAATTTGCTAACTAGTTAACTAATCACACATAAAAAAGTAAGCACATCTCTCTCCTTATAAAAAAACGAAAAAATATTTGTATTATATCACAAGCATACATTGCATATATGCACAAAGAACCCTAGGGCTCTTCACTCTACAAGAATCTGTACAAGACAAAGGGGGTCACATAAATATGCCCAAAAGTAATCTAAACATAATTATCACCAATATTCTTGGAGATTTCCCATTCTAATTTTGCTGATTCTTGGAAAGATCCAAGTACTAATGATATGCCATACTATGAGGAGAGCGCCCGGTGCCATCCAAAACAATCTCGAATAACTCACCTTCAGACTCCCGATCAAAATCTAAAGACCTAACACTGTTCACTGTATTATAGTGTCTAGTGTCACCCCTTTGAAGCCATTGTGAATCTATTCTTCCCATCGAAAAAAGCTCTTTGCTATCCTCAATGTAATACCCTAAGGCTGCAGGTGAATTTGCATGGCCAGGGCCAACGAGGCTTGGATTGGGTGTTCTTTGTGAATTTGCAGGCCCGAATTTAAACGGGCTCTGTCCGAGATTAAAAAGAACTGTAATATCGGCGTTTGCTGCTAGGGTCGGATAGAGTGGATGGCTGAATTCATCAGTCTTGCAATGAAATTCATGTACTAGTTTCGAACCAGATGTGAAGATGATCTTTTTCTGGCTTGGGTTAAAGCCACAACCGATGACATTTCTTGTATTCCGTTGCCATTTGTCTAGTTCGGACTCGAACACCAGCTTATTTCCTGAGGGAAGAGATGTAATAAAAACATGAAAACTGTTAGACTGATCATTATGCAGTAAATTTGGTGCAAATTGTTCTTAGTACATATCACCAAACCATTTTTTACACTAAACAATATCTGTAATCTTAGCTTATGTGCAACAGCTCAAGCATTGTAAATTTCTACACTTGTTTTCTCTATCATGAAGACAATTTTATTTTGATCCGTTTGAATTCAGAGAATTGTAATCATCCGTTGGTCATGTGTCATACTTTATAACCCATATTAAACAAAAGTATGACATTAATAAGTATACATTTTCGTTCAAAATGTATGACAGGTCGACCCGGCTAATAGTTGTCGCACACGAGAATTTGTGTGTAATTAATCCAATTATGTTCCAAATTCAAAGCTAGTGATGATGCATCTAAAGCCTCCCAAATCTACCTATGCTAAAAAAAGATCAGAAAGTCGAACTTTGTTCTAATACGACGAACATTGTAAGTTACCAAGAATGGTGCAGCAGAAGCAGCACAACATTCTGCACCAACTAAAAAACCCTTACCATTTAGACAAACAGAGCCAGTAGAATTAAAGCCAATAGACCCCTGAAAGCTGCCTGGGATTTTCAAGGGGACAGGCCCTTTTCCAGTCAGCCCAATCGAAACCCAAACGTTATCATCATCATCCCCTAATTGCCCATTTTCATCCTCACCCAAAATCGTGATTTCAAAAAACGCTTCCTGCGGAAAACCCGAATTACCAAAGCGCGGGCCGGGCAGAGGCAGACCCGCCCGGATCACCGATACGGCTCCAGTCGGCAAATCGACGGCTGCCACCGCCTTCCTCAATCCCTGATTAAGCCTAACTCTCTGCACATAATCCTCCGACCCTTCGCAAACCTCCCAGCCAATCTCGACATCGGACGGAACGAAAACGGGCTTCACGGACGGGGACGAAGTCAGGGTCCGGAAAGCGAATCTGGACCATCCGTTTTCAACGGCGTCGGCCAACAGCGACGGGTGGTCGGCCCAATTGAAGAACGCCGGCGACTCCGCTGAGAATTCCTTGTGCAGGAAGTAGTAATTGCTGGCTTTTCTGGAGGTTATTTGGTGAAGCCTGGAAATCCCGTTCTGGAAGCTGTTAGGATTTCGGTTGGGGTCCGAAACGACGACGGTTGGACGCGTTTTGGGGTGGAAGCATTTCTGAAGGATTATGAGGAGGAGGAGGATGAAGATGCTCGTGAATGCAATGGCTAGTGAGACATGTAACCAGTTTACCATTTTCTGATTTTGCTTTATTTCTTGTTGATTTAGGGGTTTGTAATGAGTTATAACTCTTGGACCAAGATTTGTTCAAAATAAATGTAAATTAAGTTTTTGACTTTGAAATACTTGAAGGACCTAAGAATGGTTCAATTAGGAAAAGTCTTAAATGTTTCGGGGATTTTAGTAAACCCATTGAATAAGACCCGATTATGCTTTAAAGTAAGGGGAATTCTTTAATACTAGTGCGTGGCCCGTGCGATGCACAGGAAAACAATATTATGATTGTGTTATAAATTAAATATACAAATAAATTAATCAAGATACTCATCGTTTTTAAATTAAACCGTGTTGGACACAATCCGACCGGATGGACCGAGAACTGGTTTATAATCAATCTAGTTCACTTGAATAAAATATTTGTTATTGAATTGTCAACGCCAGTCGGTTGAACTGATAGGATCGATACAATTTTCTAATTAAATTTGGCTATATTTAAAATTATTTTAAATAAAATCATATTTAAATAAAATAGAGATTTATAAATTGTTTATCAATTAATTTAAACATTTGAATTTTTAAATTGTTTAAATATTTAAGTGACACATTTTATTCAAATTTTATTACAAGAAGTACTATATATATATATATATATATATATA